AAATCGGAGGCTAAAGTGCATATATGGAAATAATTTGTGGTTTATTAGATGCATTTTAAATAGGCTTACTGATATCCACGTCTAAGGTCTAGTTAAACCATTCTTTAACCCGATGCCGACGGGTATGATGTGTACGTACATGCTATGCCCACCGTGAGTACTTGTTTGATTGTTTTTACGCATAGATGGCAACACTTGTACTAACTTCCCAATGAGGTAATTATGAGCACCGCCCGTCTCGCCCGTTTACCCGTTTCTTTGATTTACGAACTATTTTACGTTATCTTATTTTGCTGTTACTAATGTTAAAAAACATCATTATAATTATAATGTTTATGATAAAAATATCACCATCGATTTTCATAGCACTAGTGAAATATACGTTTATCCCGCCATTTGACATCAGGCGCTAGCAGAGCCATCCATCAGCAGACATTTAACGAAAAACATGACATTTAACGAAAAACATAGAAAGTGGGCACAGCATTTCCCCCATTTTTTGTTAATTTTCCCCGGCGGCATTGGGTTAAACCAAATTTATTACACGGATTGCTACATACATTGTATACCTACCAATGAGATATTATAACTCGCCTTTATAACATTTTGATAATTAACTGATCATAAGTTTATCTGGACCTCATGAGTTGGGAGATACTTTTTCTCATCGAAAGTAAATTTTGTAAAAGAAGCAACCACAGTTAAAGTTATTGGTTTCAGGGGTAATAATCTGTTTGTTTGTTTTGCATATTGCATATAGCTGTTTAGGATGATAATGCTGTTTGACAGTAGCAGGTAAGATAAAGCTTAGAATGCTTCCTTTCTCAATATGTTCCAGTGAGGGCTTTGAGAGCTATAATTCTTTTTAAGAAAATAAGATTATGTGTAGTATTTGGGGAACTTCCCTGTGGTTGTATTCAAATTATCAAGCCTTTTGTTGCAAACTTCTTGCAATGAGTGATTTTTTCAAGGTTGATCAAGACCTGATCTCAAGTGCTAAACTGACCTCACAATTCACTGGGACTCAAATTTATATATTACCACAAACATGAATATGATATATTTTTTTGTTATCAGTGCCTTTTCTTCCATGTTTATATATTATACTTATTTTGGGGGTAATAGTACACTTTTAAAATATATATTTATACAGTTATTTACAATAATCTTCTGTGCATATGTGTTTTCTTTGCTGGAGTCTTTGACAGCTCGGCAAGCCTTCATTCCTTGACAAGTATAGGCAAGAAATGTTTAGTTTACAGTATTGCATCATTTACAGGCCATTTGTAAGAAAATATAGTGGTCATGCAGAAGCAATCAAGTGTATCAAGTGTCATAAAAAATGTAATTAGATTCCAGGCAATTCAGACAATTGGTTGAATCAAGAGAACTTTCAGTGTTTTTACAAATTATATGTGGTAATTCGGACAGTATGTAGTATAAGGTAGTGGCAGAGTTGGATAATAAAACCTACATGAAATGATAGAACAATACAACCCAAGACAAAGTTCTTCTATGGCAATGTGTGTGCAATGCTTCCCATGGGTGCTATACATAAAAAAGATCCCTTGTTTACATTGCGAGAGTGAATTCTAGACGCATATACTACCACGGGGGGCTAGGCGTATATATTACTCTGGGGGTCCAGGGGGTGTAGCCCCTGGCTAGCCGTATATATTACCACGGGGGTCCAGGAGGCAAAGCCCCCTGGCTAGGGAATATATACCATGTTAGGTTAGGTTGGGTGTTGGGTTAGGACGTTTTGTTTAACAACCATGGGGGTCCTGTTTTACCCCATAATTTCCCTGATATACTTCATGCCCTCCCCAGCTATCGGGACTATTAAATCATGATTGTTGATGGAGATGGTAATCATATCTCCTCAACAATTCATTTGCACAAGGAACAATGCCTAAAATTATTGAAAGCAGTGGATTTCATGCAGAAAAGTATCAAAAGTGTTTCAAAAGTAACCCACTACTCTCTTTTCATATTGACCAGGGGAATCTTCTCTTTTCTTTTACATATCACAGCCTTGGGAAGCATTTGCACATATATTGCCATAGAAGAACATTGTCTGGGTTTATATTGTTCTATCATTTCATGTAGGTTTTATTACCTAACTCTGCCACTACCTTGTACTACATATTGACCGGTAATTCTTTGCAGTATACTACACTTGCTAGAGACAATCCCCCAACTCCATGCCACAATTATTTCAACAGTTTAAGTTGCCATGAGTGGTTGTGCCCTTCAGGCACTGGCCAAGGAAAGGGTTGAACAGGTGTTGGTAATTCTTTACAGTACAGACGCACTTGCTAGAGTCTCAAACTCCACATCACAAAATTTATTCAACAATCTAAGTTGCCCTGTCTGAGTGGGCAGTGCCCGAGGGGGAGGGGTGAGGGAGGGCTCTGCCCTCCAGCACCCCTAGCAAACACTGTCTTCAGCTTTGATACATGGCAAGATAGAACTGATACTCAGGATCACTGACTCAACTTAGGATACAAGTGGCATTTTCCGCAATCCTTTTCCTTTGTTTGCGGTTTTCCTGTTCATGTCCGAAGATTATTTCTTGTACCAGTGACTGAAACTTTTTGACCTCTACAAGAATAGCGTCTTTAATTTACCCTAGCTTAGTGTGTTCATAACATAAAGATTAACCAAAGTACTCTGTCCCCCAACACCACCTGGCAAACATCAATATGCATGGCAAGATCAAGCTGAAACTAGGTAGCACTGACTGAGCTCAGGCTGTGAGCAGTGCTTTCTACAATCTTTTTCCATTATTTGTGGCAATACTATTTGCGTCCGCAGATTTTTTTATTTTACCAATGACTGCAACTCTTTTTCCTCTATAAGAATATCATCTTTAGTTTGTCCTAGCCTAGTGCTGCAATACTACAAAGATTAACCAATGATGTGTTTTGCAGAGACCAACTTATCTGCAGAAGCAAAGGAATAATTATGTAATTTATACCATTTTATCCATACTGCTAATGAAGTATCTATCTAATCATCTGTTCATTTCTTTCTACCATCATAACTCACTATCTAATAGAATCAAGGAAGATTTGGTAGTAAAACATTAAAGTAAAAAACACACAGTATGTCCAGTCAGTTATCAGCATTGCAGTGTGAGGGTGAGTACTTGGCAGACATTTTCAATTGAGGATATACTGTATACCTAAAGAACTAGCATTTAAAAGCCAGTTGCCAAATATTGCTATTTCTGTGTTGGTGTATAGATGACGTAATGGATGGTAAGAGCATAGTCTTGGCCTGAATACAGCTCAGTGGCAGTAAAGGTATATGAAATCTTAGTTCATGATATGGTTCAGTAATTGGTAATAAACAACAATAAGTAAATAACATAATTCATGAGATCTATGCCCATTGGTAGAGGATGTTTAGCAGAATACTGATGTAAAGTGAAAACTTTATTTCATGTGTTTTATGGCTTGTATGTGCCAATTTCCCTTACTGCTATAGCTTAGTGTTTTACTTTTATAGGCTGTTGCTATTTCTACTCCTACAAAAGATATTTAATGCCAGTGATTATGCACAAAGAAATTGAAAACTGATGATGAAATCAAGGAGGAGGTAGAGAGAGTGAGTGAGTGAGAGAGCGAGAGAGCGAGAGAAAGAAACAGAGAAAGAGAGAGAGAGAGAGAGATCGACAGAGCGTGTATTGTAAAGAGAGGAAGCAGGGCAGAAAATGTTAGAAAGGGAGTAGAGGAGGAAGATAGAAAGGAAGAGAGAGGTGGAAAAGGAAAAAGGAGATAGCGAGTGGGTACAGGAAGAAGGAGGTAGAGAGGGAGAGGAAGAAAATAGCAAGAGTGTTAAATTGCGACAGAGAGAGAGAGAGGGAATGATAAGAAAGAAGAGAGATATTCGTATAGAGAGAGAGAGGAAGGTCAAGGGGGTTACAGAAGTGCACATAGAGAGAATGAGTAAAAGAACAGTATAATCCAGTTTCACCAAAAAGACCTAAAGTTTCTTTTTAGGTCTCATATTGCTGTTTTAATTAAATTTTTGTATATATTTCATCTTTGTCTACTACCCCTATTTACATACACTTCATGCATCATTCATATCTTTCATGGAAATTCCGTTCAGTATATTTATTAGGAAATGGTGAACTAGTCCTCTCCACTATTTTTGTCGCCTTGGTGTATAATCTCAATAAGCTATTCATAAACAATCGACTAGAATATAATCCTTATAAGCCAGTATCTTGTAATTAAGACAAGTAAAGATCTTGCCTTCCAGAGCCTTATAAATGATACGTGTATAATGAAATGGTGAAATTTTTCCATTCTTTTTTAAGCAAATCTCACATGTCGGTTGAAAAAGAAAACACTCTACAGCGTTCAATATGTGACATGAAAATTATGGTAGCCATGGTGATGAATCTGTATGATTACATGGGAACACTGTGTATTATATCTTAGTGGGCTGTCAGATAGTTTGCTCAATCTTACCTTTGTTGTCACCAGCTGTACATACACATGTGCAGACACACATGTATACGTGTAGATTCTTACATGTGCGGGCATACAGACACACACACACACACACACACACACACACACACACACACACACACACACACACACACACACACACACACACACACACACACACACACACATACACACACACACACACACACACTCACACACACACACACACACACACACACACACACACACACACACACACATACACATACACATACACATACACACACTCACACTCACACACACACACACACACACACACACACACACACACACACACACACACACACACACACACACACACACACACACACTTATATACACACTTACATACACACACACACACTTACATACACACATACACGGGCCACGCTGCACACATACACACATACACTCACACACACACACATACACACTCACACTCACAGTCACACTCACACTCACACACACACACACATACACACTCACAGTCACACTCACACTCACACACACACACCCAAGTTTTGTCCATCCTGTCCATTAGCCCGGTCTGCAAAGGAAGCCTCTTGACAAACTGATAATATGGCAACACCCTATTTCTCCCCCCTCTGTATCTGATAGGAAGTGCACTCTGAGATACGGGCTTATCTCCCTATCAAGCCCCAGGCATTATTGTAAGTTCGAGAGGATCCGGGCTGTACCAACCGGCTGGCTTCCACAGTACCAAGTCCAGGGCTTTGGGATGTGTGAGGGCTTGCATGAATCCCTGTGTGAGTGCCCCAAAACTGTGGCAACTCCCATGGCAGGCACTCCAGGCCGCAGTGGCTTTTCCATCCCTGTCGTCTGTCAGTGCTTCAGCCGTCTCTCTCATAGCCACTGTAGCTTAAGGGATGACTAAGAAGGAAGAATGATGTCGGTACAACGCGTTCTTAAAGGGACATCCCTTACTCTTGTTTTCATCGCCTTGTATACGTCTTTTTATCTTGGCGTCATTTCCGACAGCAGTAGTAAGTAGCAGAGAGAAGTGTTTTTGGCAGTTGCTAAGAATGTATGAATATCTCTGTGACTAACCAATGAAAAGAAAAGAGTTTAAACTTAGTTTGTGTTTGTCTGTCTTTTCTGATTCCTGGAGTATGGGAGAATTCCAAAATCTCGCTACTGAAGGAACAGAAACCCATTGATTATGCATTTGCCTTGTGAAACATCTGTTCTGTTTGATCATTTTTTTCAGTGAAATCCGAGTTTTGTGTTTCCCAATTCTATATATATATTTTTTTTCTTTTTTTCTTTTTTTTTTTTTTTTTTTTGGATGTCATAAGTCATTATTATGATACGTTCTAACATTTAGTATTTTAACAAGTAGTAGGAGTGGTGGTGGTGGTGGTATTAGTAGTTTTGTAGTTTTGTTGTAGTAGTAGTAGTAGTAGTAGTAGTAGTAGTAGTAGAAGTAGTAGTAGTAGTGGTGGTGGTGGTGGTGGTGATAGTAGTAGTAGGATGAGAAAGATTAACAATTGTATATTTTTTGCTACTGAATTTATAACCTTCGTTTTATATTTGTTGCTGCAGTTGTTATTGCAATCATCACCATCATCTGCATAATCAATATTATCATTTTTATTTATTGTGATAATTACGATGTACTTTCTTGAATGTCAGTATAATCATGATATCTTATATATGCAACACTTCATTCACATATATAAATAACTGATATGTAGAACATAATTTTAAAGTATTGTGACTTTAACCCATCCTTTTCTTTTTCACAAAATATAATTGGAAATTTATTTTGACAGATAATAAATTTCTCATTTGATAAAGTATATGCATTAAAGTTTGACAAATAATAACTCATTCAGCTATTAAACCTTAGAGATATTTTGATAGGGAATATGTTCATATAGGACATAAATATTTCAATATAAACTGTGATAGAAAATTTATTACAATTTGATTGATAAATCATGCAGTTGTGAACTAATTGCCTACATCTTCAATAATCCTTTCAGGAAGAGAGACAGTAGAACCCACAATGGCTACCACAGCATCAGCAGTCGAAGAGAGCACTCCCTATGGCCCTGATCTGTACATTGGGTTGGCACTTTCTATAGCCTCTTCAGTGTTCATAGGTAATTGTGTTGGAGTGGTGTGTACAGGCAGTATCTGGGGACACGTGTGCATGTGAGTAAATGATGATGAGGGATGGATGTGCATGAGTTAAGTGGGTGAGTGAGAGAGTGATTGAGTGAGTGAGTTATGTATAAATTTGTGTGCTGCTATAATGAGCACATATATCAGTAAATTGTTTCTAAAGTATACTCTCATTGAGATAGTCAATCCTGTAAATTGAAGCTAAGAAATTTATATATCATACAAAGTAAGCATCATATTTTCAAATTCTGATATCTCATTATTTTACCTCCCTAGGCAGCAGTTTTATCATCAAGAAGAAGTCACTCTTAGCCTTAGGGAAGGCTGGAGGCACAAGAGCAGGAGCTGGGGGTTATGGCTATCTCAGATACTGGCTCTGGTGGGCAGGGCTGCTGTCCAGTAAGTTACAATGCAGAGGGAAATTTGATGATTCTTGCTATACACTGTGTTCCAAGTTAAATTTACAGCAGTGTTATAATAGCCTTGCATGCCAGTATATATAATTTTTTTTTTTTGTTAGAATTATTTTTATTTGTCATATTAAAACTTCTAGGATAAGACATGCATTATAGTGTACAAAAAGATCTGGTACTGTTTATTCAACTAATAAAGTGTTAAATTTGCAGTGGGATTTGGAGAAGCGCTCAATTTCATAGCCTATGCATTCGCCCCAGCCACACTTGTAACACCTTTAGGGGCTCTGTCTGTGATTGTGACTGCTCTCCTCTCACAGTACTTCCTCGGGGAAATCCTCAATATTTTAGGAAAGGTAAATTGATGCTAAGGTGGTACTTAAGAATAGCATTATACATATACATATACATATACATATACATATACATATACATATACATATACATACACATACACATACACATATACATACACATACACATATACATACACATACACATATACATACACATACACATACACATACACATACACATATACATATACATATACATATACATATACATATACATATACATATACATATACATATACATATACATATACATATACATATACATATACATATACATATACATATACATATACATATACATATACATATACATATACATATACATATACATATACATATACATATACATATACATATACATATACATATACATATACATATACATATACATATACATATACATATACATATACATATACATATACATATACATATACATATACATATACATATACATATACATATACATATACATATACATATACATATACATATACATATACATATACATATACATATACATATACATATACATATACATATACATATACATACACATACACATACACATATACATACACATACACATATACATACACATACACATATACATACACATACACATACACATACACATACACATATACATACACATACACATACACATACACATACACATACACATATACATACACATACACATACACATACACATACACATACACATACACATATACATACACATACACATATACATACACATACACATACACATACACATATACATACACATACACATACACATACACATACACATATACATATACATATACATATACATATACATATACATATACATATACATATACATATACATATACATATACATATACATATACATATACATATACATATACATATACATATACATATACATATACATATACATATACATATACATATACATATACATATACATATACATATACATATACATATACATATACATATACATATACATATACATATACATATACATATACATATACATATACATATACATATACATATACATATACATATACATATACATATACATATACATACACATACACATACACATACACATACACATATACATACACATACACATACACATACACATATACATACACATACACATACACATACACATATACATACACATACACATATACATACACATACACATACACATATACATACACATACACATACACATACACATATACATATACATATACATATACATATACATATACATATACATATACATATACATATACATATACATATACATATACATATACATATACATATACATATACATATACATATACATATACATATACATATACATATACATATACATATACATATACATATACATATACATATACATATACATATACATATACATATACATATACATATACATATACATATACATATACATATACATATACATATACATATACATATACATATACATATACATATACATATACATATACATATACATATACATATACATATACATATCCATATACATATACATATACATATACATATACATATACATATACATATACATATACATATACATATACATATACATATACATATACATATACATATACATATACATATACATATACATATACATACACATACACATACACATACACATATACATACACATACACATATACATACACATACACATATACATACACATACACATACACATATACATATACATATACATATACATATACATATACATATACATATACATATACATATACATATACATATACATATACATATACATATACATATACATATACATATACATATACATATACATATACATATACATATACATATACATATACATATACATATACATATACATATACATATACATATACATATACATATACATATACATATACATATACATACACATACACATACACATACACATATACATATACATATACATATACATATACATATACATATACATATACATATACATATACATATACATGTATATATATATATATATATATACATATACATATACATATACATATACATATACATATACATATACATATACATATACATATACATATACATATACATATACATATACATACACATACACATACACATACACATATACATACACACACACATGTGTGTGTGTGTGTGTGTGTGTGTCTGTGACTGTGACTGTGACTGTGACTGTGACTGTGACTGTGACTGACTGTGATGTATACATATATTTATGCATGCATATATGTTGGGATGTATCTATGCATATAAATATGCATCATGCATATGTGTGCATGCACGTGTATGGTATAATATTTACACGTACAGTCACTAAAAAAAGTATCTTTACTTGGGAGTAGATGAAACCAAATCGATCACTAGGAGTTGTTGGTACTTGTTTTCTAAGCTCAGATTAGATGAGCTTCATAATGTGTTTAAATAGTATTTTGGAGTTGATATGGCAAGGGCCTCATATCATGCCAGTATTAGCAATGGAGACCTCATAGACCATTCATAATTACGCTTTACTCTGAGGGACTATCAAGAAATATCAAGATTAGTTATTTTGAAGCCAACCAGCAACAGTTTCCAGCAACACCATGCAACTGGATCCACCAGAAGTGAGCACCCTAGATGCACAATGGAGGAAGATGATCAAGTGAATGTCACTCAAAACTATAAAGCAATGTGCTATATGAGAGACAAATAGGGAGCTTGCTTTGAAGTGCATGAATGCTATGAAAACCATTTGATACTCAGTGGCATCACCCCTTATATGGGTTTGAGAAGGGGGCATAGCTGGTAGTTAGTTGTCACATCCCCCTACCGTGAGTCATTTTCTTCTTAGTTTTTCATTTTCATTACTTTTTTTCTCTCTTTCTTTAACAATCCATAAATACTACAAGGTATGTGAACCCCTTTTGTTCTGCTGGCAACAGCACACAAATTGTCAGAAATCAATGGGTAGTTTGAGTGGATGCACAACAGCAGTGTTGGGGAATGAGTGGATGTCGGGCCTAGCAGATTTACAGGGTATGTTTAAGTGGAAATACTGGGGGTGATGTTTCTACCTTCGGGCCATGGTGTTTCCCAAAGCTGGAGCCATTATACTTCATCCAGGATAACCCCTATCTACACGAGTAGTTTTGTGAAGACATGATTTCAGCAACACCCCGAGATTACACTGTGCCGCATCCACTGAAATTGCCAGATCTCAGTCTCATTGAGAATGTTTAGGCAACCATGGGTAGAGACTTCCCCCAAGATCATACTCGCAATCACTATATCATCAATGCCCAAGCAATTATGGCATAAGAGCAATTGCACTTTGCAGATGGATGCCAATTAACACCAG